CCTGCAAGCCACAAGAAATCCTCTCAAACTTTAAACACTCAACTTGGCAGTAGTAATCGAGGAAACACATTTGCATCTGTTGGGTTAAAACATGCAAACTTACAAGGATGGGTTTTTTTTTTTTTTGTCTATGAAAGGCAATGCAGAGCTCTGGTTTCCATATACACAGCAGGAGGATACAAACTGATGCAATATTCTGAAAGTATTCTAAAAAAAACATTAACATCCTCTATATTTTCAGTAATCTGCATTTTTAATTATTCATAAGTTTTCTTTACAAATTCCAGCAGTCTCTTTCCTTTTTATGTAAAATTAATTTCACTCTAAGGGTGCAGAAAACTCTCTAAATGCACAACATATTGCATGAACTTTTAAGTTTATTACAAGTAAAATTTGTATAAAACAATCAGTGACAAAATATAAACAGCTGAACAGGCAATGTCCCACTAAATCTAAAAAAAGAAGACATAATTGCTTTAAAGTCTATAAGAAAAAGCTCCTTTAGCTTCAAATCACTTTCTTATGAGCGCCAGAGGAGCAGTATATAAAATGGCTGTGCTGCTTTTCTCATCCTACTGTGAGAAATATCTGAGGCAAGAACAAGTCTTCGCTGATTTGACCGGAGATCTTTGAGTCTATATTCCCTCTCTTATCCTCATCCCTTCTTTTTTAACAGCCGACTGCAAATCTCTACTCTGTGACAAAGCATCGCCTGTCAAGAGCGTGATTCCAATGAGAGGCACTTTGTGATATGAGCGGTGCATTAATGTGATTAACCCACACTCTCTATTGCTGTTTGATACATTGGCTCGGAGGCTCATGTCGGTCTGTATTCTTCTTTATTGGCATGATCAACAGGTAATGGAAAACACACTGCTGTGTGAGCAAAGCCAGGTAAATACAGCTGCAATCAAGAGTAGGGAATACACGGTGGTACCTAATAGAATTAGCGCAGGCTTAAATAAACTAATCCTGCAATTTGAATTCAGAATTAAGGACAATTAACAGTCAAATTAGCCAAGAAAACTGTTACATGCATATTAGTAGGCTTGCTGAAAATTATATACAGTTCCTGCAAACTGTTAATATGCATACTTTATTAGATTCACCTGTTCAATAGCTGGCTTTTAGAAATAGCTAAAAGGCTGATCACGTCGAAGCATTTAAAGAATCTTACTGTGGTTAAGATGATTTCTTGCAACTTGAACAAAGCGTCTGAATGAGGTAGAAAGGAGGTTAAAGCTATTTTCGATGTGGCTTATGCTGCCAGATGGGTTTGTCTGAGTCCTTCCGAAACTATTCTTCCTAAAGGTTTTTATACAAAACTAACTCTTGAAATGACAAATAATTGTTAGAAAAAGAGAAATTGTTATGAGCAGCAATAATGTAGACAATGGCACCTTGCTGAAATGCCGCTTCAGAGGGAGAATGAGGGGACTGGTTTTAGACACTTCTTGTTAAAGGTGCCATTACCTGGAAATCTGACGCTTTCTTTTCTTTATGTTTAAATGTGTGTGTTGACCTTCAGTCAAAACCAGCCACAGAATAAGGAATGTAAAAATGGCTTATTTTCATCTTGTTTGGGCTCTTCTTATAGCCCACAACGGTTTGCTCTCCACAGAGAGTGATGTTTGTTCTCCACCTTGATTTAGCGAATTTGTGAAAGGTTGCTAACATTACCCCACATTGCTATCACCACGTTCATCTCTATTCCACCAGAAAGACTGATTCCAACAATAAGAGCCTCAAACAAACCATAGCAAACTGCTAATGTTGCTAACGCTACATCCACATGAACCCCATACATGGAATTCAAATTCTCATGCGTACACTTGCAAGAAAAAAAAGGAGAAATAAAAAGGGATCAGAATAAAATCTATTTAAGTTTTTTAGTCTCCTGAAAATTTTTTAGATTAATTTAAAGACACTTTCAGAAGGGTTTTATATGTGAAGTAACAGGTTATGACTTCTTTAAATCAAAGATTTGTGGGATACAGTCTCTGAAAACATCTTATTTTTAACCTTGGAGCAGATGTGCTACTGCAGCAGAGGGCTATACAAAAGAATATTAAAATCTTAATCCCAATGGGAGCTATGCATTAGGGATGATCTGCAGACAAATTAGCATCAAATCAGTGAAAGACCAGAACCTCAAAAGAATGTTTCCTACATGCATAATTGTGGATCCTAGCAGGTCTGAAGTCGAAAGGTGATCTAATAAAGTAGCTTTAAACGTATATGAGCAACAGTCTGACTGGGTCTGTAAAGGAAGCAGAATTCATAAGGACAAATAAGACATCTTGTTTACATGTGTTTCATATATTCACACAGCTAATATTAGCCTACCAAAAGACAAAAGAACCCTTGTTGTGCCGGCTCCACCATGCACCGCAATGTGAAATTATTTATTTGCCGTCAGAGTCATCATCCTTTCAGCTTTACATAAATGACTGTGCCTACGTTTTTCAGCTCCACAGTGATTGCAGCTGTGCAGACATATATGAGACAGAGCAAAGCGTAAATATGAGAAGGAAGGATTTTTGGGAACCTAGTCATTAAGCTTTTCGTTTGAATGTTTAGCCTGGGTTGTTTGCAAAAGCAGAGATGTGCACAGAGCTTTAAATCGAAATTTGATCAAAGACAACAGAAAAATAGGCAAATCAACATCTTTTCCATGACAAGTGATCAAGCTGGCTAAGTTTGAACTATTTTATTTTAGAGAAGGAAAAGGCATTATGAAAACAACAATAAATGAGTCATTATAGTAAGTGTATTAGTGTCAATGTAGGTTAGGAGTTGAAAACAAAACCTGTGAGCTATATGGAGCTGCTACATGACCCACTGATCCACATCTGCCCCACATGGAAGTACGAGGAACCTTTTAGCAGCCAACAGAGTATATATGATACACTAAAGGAATCGAAATGAAACTAGAGGAAAGACCAAGTGCAACTCTTTCACCTCACACTCACTCCATTTCGATCAATAGCAGAGAGATAATAGCCCATGTAGTGACTCGCATCATGCATCCTCTCTCTTCATCCTTGCCCAAACTCCCAATTCCAGTCTTTGCGTTGACACACCCTCTCCATCTTCCCTCCAAGCTCCGCCCCAGACAGCAGCAGCACAGGAAGCCCATCATCTCCAGAGCTTAATTCAGAAAGAACACAAGAGAATACTGGGAAAGGCACGGTGGAACATCTGGGGGACCAAGAGACTTTCTCCCTGTTGCTGTCTGCGGAACCGTGTTATTGGCAGCTCTGTGGGCTTCCTGGTAACAGCTGATCCCCCAGGCCCCCCAGCCTCCAACTGGTTGGAGAAAATCCACTCACTGACTCAATTATGCAAGAGGTGTGAATAAAACATAAGGTTACCACACAGGAATGTATACTCATAATGCAGATGTGCAAGAAATGTAATAAGGCAATGTAGCAGGCTCACCTCTACACTGATAAAAGGGAATCTGGAAGAGCTTGTTTTGGCAATCCCATCATTGACAATCTGAGTAACAGTTAATTTAGGCTTCTAAGCATGAAAGTGAAATGTTATGTAGGGTATTTTACAGACGTTGTCACTATTATTTCCCTGGGAACTTAAATGGGAAAAAACAGCCTTGTGTGGGAGTACAGCCCGGAGCCAAAGGCAGGGTGGATTTTTCTCCCAGTCTCTCTGTTCCTTTGTGTCTCTCTCCCCGCCTTGCACTCTCATTCCTCCATGCCCTTTATTAATCATCCTTGGTTAGTCGGGCAGAGCATGGTGTTAGGAGCTCTGAGGAGTGCATAGCCATGAAAAGACACACACCTTAATAAGCATGCACAACCAACACGGACCAGACTTGTTTATTTCAGCTTTTTTTTCTCTCTCTTTTCTTTCCTCCTTGCAAAATATGTTTAAAAAAATCAATACTTTAATAAATAAATTATAGGGAAGCTGCTGGTAAACATACAGTCTGATGTGAGTCCACTCATGCAGCTAATATTCGAGGATTCTGGCCTGAGGTTTGGAGACTCAGCTGCTGCCGCTGATGATGCTGATGTAACCTTTTCAGCAACCTCAGCTGGTGTTCAGACATTCCAGCTCTAGCATATATTTAAAGTACATCCAGCATAAAACTAAAAAGAGACTCATTAATCTTAAAGTTGGACCCAAATCTGATGAGTGCATCTGCTTAATTCCTGAGAAACTCCACATATTTCAGCCAACAGTCGAGACTCTGAAGCCCAATTATTGGAGAGGCTGATTGGGACCACCCACCAATATGCATGTGTGATCAATGGGCAAAGGGGCTGGATGAATAATAGAAGGGTGAAACTGACCCTTATTTTTATGCTTGTAAGTGCACTTAGCTGAGATGGCTCCAACTGGGCTACATGCCATTATGGCCATTATCACTCTTCGATCTCCCTGAGAAAGTGCTGAGAGAACTGGTCATTAGAGTTTATGGGACAGGAGGCAGTAACAGAAGTCTGGGTTATCCGGCAGAAAAAGAAGTGCTGGGTGCTCCCACCTAAGATTTTGTTGTATTTTTAAATAACTGAATTTAAATGAATGTAATATTATATGGATATTATGATCATGCACTGCAAAAACCATCTAGAAATAAGCAAAATTTCTTAAATTCTGTTTATTTACTCTTAATTTGAGCAGGTAAATAAGATAGTTTACCAATGGAATTTGTATTTTTACTCTTAAATAAGATAATTAGATAATATGCAGTTGAAATAAGACAATGCAAAAGTTTATTCTTATTTTAAATGTAAATTGCCTTGTTCTATTGGCAAAGTGTCTCACTTACCACCTCAACTCAAGAAAAAAATCCTTTATTTTAAGAAAATTTGACTTCTTTAGATTTCAGTTTTTGCAGTGTTTAAAAGAGGAAACCCTTATTGAGCACAGTCATGTGGGTTGTTGTGCTTTGTGGATGGCACATATCAGAACGCTCATCTTCCAAGCAGAGCTCAGGTGACAGGCCGATGGGAGCAGAGGGGCTGAGGACGCACCTGGTTTGACGGTCTTCAAGCGAATCGGCTCCCGAAAGTGGCGGATGACCGCCAGGGTGTCCCGGTTGGTGAGCCCGCTGACGGGCGTGCCGTTCACCTCCAGCAGGACGTCCCCGTAGTAGGGCAGCTTCCCGACGTGACACACCAGCACGTCCAGCTTCATCTGGCCGATGTAGGGGAACTGTCCGAGCTCCGCTCCTCCCAGGATCTCCACCATGGAGCCGAAGTCCTCCAGGTTCCCCCATGACACCGCGCACTCCACCACTTTGCTGGACCAGTGTTTCTTCTTCTTCAGTGTTCTGGACATGATCGCTTCTCCTTTTATCGGAGAAATAAAGAATCAAAAGTGACGGGAGGCTCCTTTGCGTTTGTTGTTAAATGAGCGTGAAGTGACGCAGCCTGATTGACCCCCAGGAGTTATTCTGTCGACCTGCGGGGGATTTCATCCTCTTGACATTTCTGATGGTCACCTGCTGCTCTGATGCTGATGCGTCAAAGGGCTCCGGTTTCTCCCGTAGTGATTCCAACCGCGTCTTGTGCGTAAAGATAGAGAATTGAAAACGTCGGGATGGATGATAAGAAAACAGGCGTCCGCGCTTCGATTGGCTGCTTTAATAAGTCAGAATCGGAGACGGAAAAATAATAATCACGCACTTTCCGGTGGGTTGAGGAGCGTCTGAAGCGTCGCGCGTCGGTGAGGATCCCTCATACCTGTGGGCAGGCTGGGAGCAGCCTTCACCGGGTTGGCTGTTTGCGCAGCTCAGATCCTCCCGGTAGTGAGTGAGTGGAGAGACATCTGCTAAACGTTTGTCTGCTACAGGTTTGAACACACCTGGCACCGCCAGGAAAGATGTTCCGCTCCGATCCAGCCCCCTCCTTTTACGCTCAGCAGTAGAGCCTCTCATGCTGGCTCCATCCATCGGTGTGTTGTGGTATTAAACGACAATGGGGAGGGAAAAAATAAATAACGCAGATATATTTAACAGTGTGAATTACTCACTGTTTCTATGTCCATTAATTCCTCTTAATCCCTCGCTGACATTTTATTTTATTATTATTATTATTATTGTTTGCTCCAGTTTTAGTTGGTTTGTCTTGGATAGACCTTCTAGAATAATGCGCATCACTTTTAAGATTTACTAAAAATACCAAATATAATCCTGATATTAAGCCTAATTAGAGCCCAGGTTTCCTGCCTTTAATCTGTCTGTTTATTGGAGGAATATCAAAGATTATGTTTGATGTTTACACAGCGCCACCTGCTGATGGGAATATAAAACCGATTGTGTTCGATCACCTTCATCCATAACTGAGTATTGACATAGAAAATACCATTTTTTATATATATATATTTACAGGTCAGTCCTCCTTAATCAATCCCTTTAAGAATCATAGAACTAGAGGACTGTTTTGCATATTTTTTTTAATTCTTTGCAGATAAGCTCTTATTCCATCAGATGATTTTGTTTTTAATCTTTGCTGCAGACTATCTGTCTAATGGAGGCTTTGACTGTGACAGGGCCATTCTAACTTATGCAAATGCTTTAATATTCCTTCCTGCCAAGCTGGCACTCCAGACTGAAGGTTTTTACTGCCTCTAACAGCCTTGCTTCCATGATTAACATGTGTTTATTTATGCACTTATCCTACTATTTACTATTTATGACTACTATCCTATTATTCGTAACTATTTTAACTGTCACTGCTAAAGAAAAGCAACTTCACAGCATTATACTGCCTATCTGGAATCATGGGGATAATGCATCCTTGGAATTTCTTTTTTTTAACACATATTTTTCATGTTGGCCAAATATTTTTATTTTGCAAACCATCTATCCACTGTGTCTTCCACCTGCGTCGTGGAAAACTGAAAATGAGGCTTTTTTTATTTTTATTTCCTGCTTTTCCAATACAGCTCTGGGAAGCGACGTCCCAGAGCAAGATAATAGCCCAACAGATTTGCTATTACGGCTGTTTCTGTAAGGTTCTGCCTGTTAATTATACATGAAACTTAATTGACAATGATTTAGGGAATACAATTGTAAGCAAAGGACACATAGATGGAAAGATAGGTGAGAAAGAAAGAGGGGACAAGAATGAATCAATTGATCAAAAAAGCAAAATAAACAACGTAGAAGATAAACAGGTGTCTGCTTCCTTTACCTGCATGAGACAAGAGGACAAAAATGACATAACAGCAAAGAGTAAACAAAGGACAACCAAAGTAAACATCAAACTAGCTGAAACTGCTTATTCTTTACATACCCATTTAGTACATGTGTTCTTATATTGGCTTTTCTTCTGGCCGCTTTCCAATAAAGGCCAGATTTGTAAATAATGTGTCATCAGATCCTGCACTCATGAGCTGCTGCGTCTCTGCGGCTCCTCCAAAGCCTTGGTTGTTTCTAGGGGTGTAAATCACACCCATCATGGCGATTCGATTCAGAATCGACTTCCTGACCCAACGATTCGATTATTTTTGATACTCAAGAATACACCCCGAAATACTTCCACACAAATGACTTGAACCCGCAAGGGGTGTGTAAGTCACCTTTTTCCTCCGTCTTGTCTGTCTTGCATACTGTTTATGCAGGAGTGTGTGTGCAAGAAAGATTGTAGTGGTGGCGAGGTAGGAGGGCAAAATAGGTTTAGCACCACTGAAGCAAAGTGAAAAAGAATCAATACTCTTGTGGACGTGTCGATGCATCGGATTGTCAGCTGTTGGATCGATGCATTGATACAAAGCAATTATTATTTACACCCCTAGTTGTTTCTCTGTGTAGATTTTAAGAACTCCATTGATGATTTATGACCTATAAAGACTTATCCTGCAGCATTGAATAAATGTCAATTAAATGCTAACAAACAAACTTTGCTCCACAAATGACCGTCCATTTAAACTGATTTCATTTTTGTTCTTTTATCTGCGGATCCAATATAACATTGAATAAAAACAACACACAGATACGTTACTATAAGCTGTGAAACATAAGCGAAGATGTGAAAAGATTCAGATTTATAGAGTATCTGGACTAAAGCTCCAACATTAATATAATGAGGTCAAACTGGTATAACTTTATAAGATACATATTTAAATAGTGGATTTTGAAAACTCTTGTCATGTCATGAGCATGTAAAGTGATCAGGGCAGCTATAAACATAAAAATGGACAGGAAACTTGGGTTTTCAACTCCTTATTTAAATAACCACCTTGGACTGAATAATTCATTAGCATGTAGGGACTGATTAGCACAGCCACCATCTCCTTGATGGGAAGTGAATTTCTACATTTTTAAACATTTAAGCACCATCTGATTGATCTTTTTTCGAGGGGATTTACATGGGAGAGACTTGATTGGGTCTTTTTTTCTACACCAGGCCCCATGTCGGGTGACATTGTGCTGGTTTGATGTGATTAGGCCCCGATTTAACCGTTGTGCCCTTTTAAAAACTGCTCCATGGTGTGATCAGAACCTGTGCTGCATAGATCTCCAACTCAAATCAAACATTTCAAATGACTTGCTCTTGTTTTATCAAAGTTTTCAAAGGCAAACACAAGATTAACATTTAAACATGTTTTAAGTTCAGGAGGCTAGTATGAGGTTGTTTTAAGTTCTAAAAAGAGCTTTTTTTTCTCCATCCTAATTGGCATTGATTTTATTTTCTTCAAAGACAAAAGTAAATAAATTTACATAAAAAATGAAGTCTTGCTTTGTAAAGTCAAAAGTCAACGGAGATTATGAGAACTAATGTTTAATGTTGGAATAATTGTAACAAAAAGACTCTTTAGTCATGCTTTACAGAATGTACAGGCAAACAAGGTCCAACATACAATACAAAAACATTTTACAAGAGGGGACAAAACTTCAACAAATCAGCATTGAATGCCGCCAGAGAAACAACTGTTCAACTTTGGTATAATTCATAACGGATGTTTCAAGGAACTGAAAGCACAAGATGCGATAGGCTGCACTTTGATATAAGAATTAAAAAAAAGTTTTAACACTCCAGACATAAATCAATCCAAATCACTTATGACTGCAAGCTTTCCATCGACTATTTCTCATCAAAAGAACAGAAACCAATCAATCATTTAGTGCTACATAAACTAGGAGTGAGACCAAATAACCAGATCAAAGTCAAACCAAGGTTTTATTCCTCGCTTGGATACCAGTTGGTCATTAAAGTTGCTGCTGATTTGCTCAGGGAAGAAAAAAAAAAAAAAAAAAAAAAAAAAAGACTGAGAAAGTGCCTAAACCATTGATGATGACGATTCATGTAAAAAAAAAAAAAAAAAACTTCATCTATAATAGATTATATTAAAGAAGAATCCAGCATGAAGCCATAAAATGACACCCTTGATGATTACTTCCAGCATACTTTAGGTGAGTCCCATTCAAATGACAGGATCCCAACAACAGACCAAATTTCCTGAATCATGTAATGACTTCATGATTAAGATGAAAATCTAACCAAACTATCATATATGAAGATGAACTGACATTGGAAACACCCATCAACAAATTCATGTATGACCCATGGGCTAAATAGAAGCAGTCTGAATAAAACCCGTATTTGTGATCAGCACTGTTAAATCTGTTTTAGTTCAACCACCCTATCAAAGTTCAACTGAGGTTTTATAAATCCTCTCCACTGAATCTGCGCTTCACTAAATGTTTTAGCATGGAAAATACATGCTGGGGATTTTCCGGAGCCTTCACGACAGAAGGATTTTCCATAATCGAAGTGGATAGTTTGGACCCTGACGGTGCAGGTTTCAGATTAGTGTCTTTCAACAACAAAAAAAGAAACGAAAGAAACTTAGATGTAGATATATATATATATATATCTCGTTGGAAGTGGCAAAAAAGTGGACTTTGTATGTAAAAATGTAAAATTTAAGGATACTGCTCACACACTGTCCACTTTAAAATGCTTGTTTCAAGTAGCTGCTGTACTTCTCACCTTAAATGCACAAATAGATCAAGGTGTTCATTTGATAACATTATTTACATACATGTACAGATAAAATAACATGATACATTCCTTTTTTCACAGTCCAGAGTAAAATCATAAGCTTCACTACCATTTATGTCTGCTCATTACTTTTCTTATTTAAATGAAATTAAAAAAAATCTTGCTAATCTTAAAAAGTGAGTAAACTGCACAATAAAGTTTGCCAACATGAAGTGCCTGTAACAAAAGGTACAAAAGGGCTAACAAATCAGTGCATACTGTAGAAAGAAAAGGTCACTGCGAATGCTTGATCTTGACATAGAAAACAAGGCCATCTGTTAGACAACCATCAGGAAATACCCAGAGAAACTGATTGTCTCATGTGCAAAACAAATGGTTTTCTTCACAAAATGCTCATTATTCTTAAAAAAAAAAAAATAAAAGTGTAAAATTAACACATCTTGAAACAACAACAAATAATGATAATGCGTAAAAAAATAGGTATATACTCATTATACACACACCACATTTTGGTGTTACTGCGTGGAATTTGCATAAGACTAAGTCAGAATGGCGGCGGACACATGAGAGGTAAGCCTTTGAGAGTCTTCCAATATTATTAACTGAATACTGCTGGTCAGGGAACGACATCCGTCTCTTTAATTACCCCCTTTTTCTTTTTTTCCTCTTGAAAAGGGGCGCTTAGTGTTTCCTTTTTAAGACGTGCAGTACGGGTACCGCAAATGCTGAGGCACAACTGCCTAAGAGAAGTGATGTTGAGTTGCTCTGATGGCAGATTCTGACACGGTTCCATAAAGCATACATTCATTCTTTTATCTTGTGGGAGACGGGAGGAGGATAGATATAATAGCGGTAGAAGGGGTTCCTTCTGAGATGAGGCAGTCTAGAAGGCGGTCCTTTTAATTAATCCTGTCTCAGAAAGCGGTCTTTCTGTAGCAGAAAACTTCAACATGTCCTCCTGGGTGAACGGGGAATGTAAACATACAAGAGAGCATCTTTGGCAGAAAGTAAGGAATCTCTTTAGAGGTAGTGGGCGGAGGGTTAAGGTCGGGAGGAAAGGAGGTGCAGAAAAATAAGTCTGAGGCCTGGATTAAAAGAGCCTATGTGGGACCATTATGCTCCTGTGGGGTAGTCCTATCGTAGGCCCTTCTGTGGTCCTGGACAGGCTGCCCTGGGAAGAAGTTGGCCTCTGCTTCACTCTGCTCCACCACCCTGTCAGCAGCTGAGGCCAGAGGTGTCCTGTTTAATGTTACTGAGAGATGAGAGGCTCCAGGTTGACAAACTGAGGATGAATCTTCACCTGGTCTCCATAAAGAACTGCCAAGGGAATCTATAAAAATTCAAAAACAGAAAAACAAAAATCTTAGATTGGAGGGAACAATTATTTGGATTGATCGTGATTAATCGATTCTTGACATAATCGTCACCTAATATAGTGATCAATTAACCTTTTCATAACATGAGGACCCAAATTTGGGTCCTCAGCACTCGCCCCAAGATGGTTTTTAGACTTGTAACATATTCTCTGGGGTCTTGCCTTTATTTTGATACCAAAACAATTAAAATAAATTCTGTAGTTCTTGAGATATATTCAATTCATTTTGGGCATGTTATTTTCAAGCATATTTCTCGAAAACAGGCCTAGTGTCCAAGAGGTTAATCATGAGCTGGAGTATAGAGAGCCTAAAACATGCCTTTAGCTGACAGAGCGACCCACTTAGAGCAGTAATTATATAAAAAATGCATTTTCTTTTAATTCATGAGATAAAAGGTCTCTCAATATGCTCTATCCAGAACTCCTCTAGTCGAAAAGTTTTAGTTTCAGTCTTTTTTATGAAACCTTTGACTATCCGATTAATAATCGATTAATCGAAAAAGGAATTGACAGATTAATCGATTTGCAAAATAATTATTAGTTGCAGCCCTATTGATTGGGATAAAATGTTCTGGGTCTCTAAAAAGAAATCAAAACATTTTGGCTATATCTCATGAAGAAAAAAAATATTCTCTAAAGAAAGGAGAAAAAAATCCTATGATGCAGGATGTTAAAACCTGAATAGCCTTTTAATTGAGCAGGTAAACGAGGAAATTTCAGTGAGCTGGTATATTATCTACAAACAGCCTCATGGATTCTCCTTTGGGTTTTCAGAGTCAGTGGGTAAACTCGTCTGTAGATTTGATAAATTAAAGCTCTCAAATCTCATATAGTATAAAACAACCTTGGTACAGTCTATTCTGAAATATTGGCTTTAAATAAAAACATTTTATGTTTTAATGACTGTAGTTTAAATTAAAAAATATATATATATTTTTGTTATATCTCACCTTCAACATATTGATCTGCAGCAGCGTGTTTGTTTGATGTTTTCTCAGGCGAAGTGATATACCCCGGTGAGTCCTGATGGTGCATGAGGCTCCCCGGTGGCGTGTCCTCAGGGTGGGAACTGTCACCAAGGCCATCCATCAGGCCTGGCAGAGCCCCGTCCAATGGATCATCCTCCCCCAGGAAATTATATTGACAATACTCTCGAGTTCGAGAGTAGATGTTTGCGTTGTCGTAACAGTCGGAGCAGATGACAAGGGGACCTGCACCACCTAGTAAAATAAACCATCTTTATCATTTCACAAAACTTATTATTTTAAGCTTTTTAAAGTTTAATTTGGGAAATTCGATCTGATTATATTTCATAAAATATTGGCCAGGAGGAAAATCTTAAAGGTATAATGGAGGATTTTCGCAAATTTTTGAAAAGACCGACCCTCTCCGCTTTAAAAAAAATGCACATGCACAAACCTGAACCCGCTCCTGCCTATTAAATGTGTGTGAGAGTGTGCACGAGTCCATTTCTCCTCGTGCACACTCTGTTTAAGACTTGCTGTTTGCATTGCTCCTACAAGCTTGCTCGCCAAAAGATTTACAATTTTTTACACGATGTCAGACTCAGTACCGGAAAGCGAAAATGGGGACGAGCACGTACGCCTTATGTTAACATATCACCAGAATGATTGACAATTAGGAGGACCACTTATTTGATGATCCACCTGGAAAACGAACATCTTCCACTATACCTGTAAGCAAACCATTTCTAATTGCTCTAAAGGGATTTCTATCAGTTCTTCTGCTGAATGCAATGAAGTTTTTATTATATTAGGGATTATTTTAATTATACAAAGAAAAGTTTTATGGTTACCATCATAACATCTTCATGAGCAAGCCTGTGCATAATGAAGGAACAAGATAAATGATTTGCAGAGAAAAAATGAAAAAAAAAAAAAAAAAAAATCAAATCAAAGTGCTAAAATGACAACAAACCTGAGGAGACACCCGCTAATCCCTTATGAGGCTCGCCAGCCTGGAAGCTGCTACGGCCAGTCAACAGAGAGCCCATCTTGCAGTGCAGCATCCCACTCCCTTCACTTTCCACCTCATTGCCCGCGTCTCCATAGCACACCCCTGGGACAAACAGGATAATTAGTTACTCTTGTATTCTGTGGGGATATGATCCGAAACGCAAAAGCAGAAAGTATCTCAAGTAACAATAAAGTAAAGGTGCATCTTTAAAAGAACGCTGCATTCTTTGAAAAATAAAACAATCTAAACTGGATTTGTTTTGCCAGTTGTTTTTTTTAAGGCCTTATATGTATTTATATTCTTCATCATATCAATACGCCATAAATGACGAGGTTTAGTAAGTCCAAACAAAAACTAGGTTAAAATCACTCAGCGGCATAAGACAGACTCCTTAATCTGCAAACAAAGGTCTATGAAGATCCAATCAAAATCGCTACAAAGAGTTTGCAATTGTGTTCACACACCTCCAACTACGCTGTGTAACAACAGAAGAAAATGCTCCATTCCAAACTAGGATAAACGTTATACAAGGTTCTAAAAAAGGGTTTAAAAATGAAAATGTGAGTGTGTGCACCTAAAACAAATCCAGAGGAACCCACTGTCATTCTCACCATCATTTGATCACTGCTGCAGAAATGGAAATGTCTTGAGAGCTGTGCAAAACCGAATTTCAATGTGTATAAACTCAGTGTATGCAAAATTATAAAGTTTGTCTAAGTAGGTCTAAGTGAGGCATTAAATAACTTATGATTCTCTTGAGCATTCAGCAAATAAATACATTTAACTAAATGCAAGTTATTTTTTATGCAAAATATCTTTCATTGTGTCATTAAAAGACTGAAGAAACTTAAATCATCTAACTTTTTAAACAAGCTTTAAAGCTTATATAAAATATTGGTCATGCTGTGATCATCATGATCTAAGTTTTAAATCTGCGCAAAAATGGTCAAACTTAACTAGAAGCTATGGAAGCTATGGAAGAGCGTAAAGATTGTTGCAATTCCATCAAAGGACAGAAAAGGAGAGGGGCTCAAAGATTAGTCGCATGGTTGCAGACACTAGATGTGCAAAGCTTGTAGAGATGAGACACAGGAAAGCGATTCTACAAAGAAACGGCATGGTGGGAAGCAACTGAAACACAAATCTGATGCTTTTAAGGCTGATTTTTACATTAAGAAGACAGGAAGTGGATTAAAAATACCACAAATACATTTTAAACTCCAGATTAACTTGATAAATCATTTTTTAGCTTACCAGAAGGTTATTTTAACCTGAACTAAATCTAAATCAATGTTATGTTATTAAAATCCAGATGCAGTTACAGAGGCACGCAACGGATGAGGTTGTGTATGAATTAAATGCAGGGAGGATCCATTTTAGTGCAACAGGTTCAAAGAAAAAAAACAAACTATACGCAATATATTATATTAACGTCACACTTCTTTATTTATGGGGATCAGTGGAAGCTTTGCACGTAGGGCTCATGTTCAATGGGAAAACAGAGGAGAGTCGCTGTGCTCTCAGAAAGGGACAGAAAGGGGCTGCAGCAACAGTGTTTTGAAGGAGGGAGGGCCAAGCTAACTCATTACTCCTTGAAAACACCTAACTTAGAGCCATTAGTGCATTTATTGTCACCAAAGTCTCCAACAACACTGGAAACGGTCACCAGATTTCATAAAAAAAAAAAAAAAAAAAAAAAAAAGCCAGAAAAGTCACTAAATATAGAGACAAAGTCACTGAGTTGGAAACACTGCTCACAGGTGAGCACAGTGTTTCCACAGTGAGCTGCAGGGTTCGTGTTTTCACAGCGCTTCCATCGTGTTTATGTGTCAATGAGGAGGTAAGTGTGTTTAAAAAAATACGTTTCTGCAGCTTTTATGGTCATTAATAGTCAGGGTATTGACTTATTTCCATCGTTTTAGAAATATATTAGAGTACGTTTTCTTTTTTAAGCTTTCGCGGCTACAGCATGTTCATCAGCCTCTGTGAGACGACTCCAGTCATAAATGTGTGGGGTTCATGTTCTCACAGAACCTCTGTTAGTGTGCAAATAGCAGTAGGTGTCGCTGCTGGAAATCTGTAAGGCAACAGTGACGTCTCATAACTGAATCCCTGAGAGTTTTCCCCATTCAAATTTATCATATGACTTTTCAGAAATTTCTCCTCTTTTTTATATTTTTTCAATAAAAGATGAATAATATCTTGTTTAAATTGAGCCTGACTTATTTTAGGAGCAAAATGTGAATGAAAGGGCTAAAATCTACTTGCATGCATGCTCCTGTTTTTCCTGTTGGCACCAATCTATTACGTTGGCACACAGCTACAGTGCATAAAAGGTTTGAACTAAACACTGTCTGTGGCCTTTTGCGGTCTAGGAGATAAGAGTACATACCTTCTGGGCCCTTATGAACGTATCCATTGGAGAGGGGAGGCATGAGCTGCTGGTGGCTACCTGCCTCTGAGTTACTGTAGCCTTCCAGTGGCTCTGATAGGGTACCCTGGGAGGATAGGTAGCTGGGGATATCTGGTGGCAAATTCATCTCATCTGCAATGAGGAAATGTGTTTAAACACAGTGTACCATGTTTTATTTTAACCTTGTAAAACTAGTTTTAAAGCTTATAACCTCATAATCTGTCAAGGTAAAGCTTTAAAGTAGCATCTTCCTTATTAGTTGAACTTATTCTTAAGTATTAAGCACCTAGATATTTTAATTACATCTGTGTCTACTGTATGAGTATCTGATATGCATTTATTTTTTTTTTTTATTTTTTTTTTTTTTTTAGAAAGAAAGCAGACTCCTCTCCCTTTAATTAAGCCCATCTTTGATTTAGCAACCTTGCTTGCATAACTAACCAGTGTTAGTGATGCTGTAGTCCTCGTTCTTCCTCCGTATATGATAGATGACGATGACCCAGACGAGCGAGGTTCCCACCACACAGCACACGACTACAATCACCACTATCCCCACTGTGGCCCAGTCTTCTGTGTCACAGTTGGCCAGCGGCGAGACCCTGAGGTACATGTAATCGCGCTTTGTTCCGACGGTGTTGGACATGCTGCAGGTGTATTTCCCAGCATCGGCTGGCCCGGCGTCAACTATAATAAGAAGCTGGTTGGCCGCAGCAAAGAAGTGGCGCTCTGTGAGCACGAGAGGCCCGTCGTCTTTGGTCCAGTTGAGTCGAGGGGTGGGGCTGCCTCCGGCTATACATTGGAGCACTGCAGTTTCACCCTGGGCAACTGTACGGTCCTTCAATGGCCGTATCAAGGAGGGAGTTTCTGGAAAAGAGAAGAAATGTTTGCAATTTAGAGATTATGAATCTGCTGTTATTTAAAATGAAAATAAAAAAATGAAGCAACTGACTAACCTGCATATATAGTGATATCTAATCATAGTCATTAGTACACTGATGACCAGAGTATTATTATGCCGTGAATATCCTATATATCTGGGGTATAATAAAGTATTCTTTTACAGTATCCTTAATTAAGAGAGTCTGGGACTGGGGTGGCATGTCTGGTAGTAGTAGGATCTGTCTTGTTGCTAGTTTGTCTGTGGTTTGGACCTGTTTTTGTCATGGACATTTTGAGCCTACTATTTTGTTCTGTATATTTTAATGAGACGTCTGTTGTTTGAATATGGAAAATCAATAAAAACACTTTGATTATTGAAGTATCCTTAATTCAGCCTGGCAATGTGGTAACAAAGAAGAGCAAAGAACAGAACCAGCTGATAGCAGGGATTAAAGCAAAAAAAAAAATCCTGGGCATTACCTTTTTCAACAGGCAAGAAAATACTTTTTAAAATACGCTGGTGAAGGTTCTCAGTCATGACTTTTGAAAATCTAATACCGAAAATGGCCAGAAGATGGCAAAAGTGCATCTATGTCTAGTGTGAATGAGAGGCTGTGTTTGGTGAGAAAAGCAAACCCCCCCCTTTTTTTTTTTTTTTCTACTCGCATACATGGTCATACATCAGGTGTTACCATAGCTCCCGGCAAACATGTAGTGTGCACCAGCCCCATTCTTCTTCTGTTTGGCTAATGCTATTAGTTTCAGAGCGCTCCTTTGCTACCATTGGCTGACAAACGCAAGAGGGATTTCGAATCTTTTTTTTCTTTTTCTTTTTTTAACCCATGGGCAATCACTACGAGCCGGAATACTTTAATCCCTATGATAAGAAGCCAGACTCACCCAGGACAGAAAGAGTAGCGTTTGCAGAGAGACTGCCGGCTGCATTTTGAGCTGTGCAGCTGTACACTCCCATGTCCTCTGCCTTCACATTAGAGATAAAGAACATGTCATCATCTGGCATCACATGCATCCTTCGCTCTCTGGCAGCAGGAAAGTCAGTTCCTCCATCCTTCTGCCAAGCGATCTGGGGAGATGGGTGGCCTTCAGCTGCACACTCCAGCCGGGCGGTATACCCAGCGCGGATCGTCAGATCCATGGGAGTCTTAAGAAAGGAGGGCAGCTCTTAAAAAAAAAAAGAGAGAGAAAGACAAAAGTACAAAACAAGATCAGAGTTGGTCATCCATGAATGTTTTTTTTTAATCTGTTTTATTATTATTTAAAAGGTAAAAGATATCAAACAGCATAACACCAGCTATCAATTGATCAGTTGATAATATTTTTTAGAAAGGAGACCGCCTCTCACCATTGATAGTAAGTTTAGCCCTGTTTGAGTAGTTTGAGCCAAAGTGATTGGAGACAACACACTGGTAAAGGCCTTCTTCAGTGAAGTTGACATTAAGCAGATGAAGCACGGTGCTATAGATGAGCTGTCCATCCTGATAACGGGCATAGTTTTCCACTTCCGCGTCGTAGAGCACTTCCCCGTCCTTCCGCCACACATTGGTCATCGGTGAGTCACTGCTGCTGGACGCCACACAGCTCAGAGTGATGTTGTTGCCCCGCAGAGCCACAGACGTCTCTGGGTGAGCTGTGATCCGAGGCTTGGGGAAATCATCTATGGAGGAGGAAGTCAAAGAGGGAGGTCCTTTTTTATATTAGCAATATTCTTTTAGACCTAAATTAAATGCTAAGCTCTCAACATTCTTTAAAAGTAAGACATTTACAATGCTGTTATTAAAATTTTACATATAGTTTGACATTTCTATGCACATACGAGAAGCTATTCTGCAACCTCTAAGAGTTCTAAAGATTTAAAACATTCAAACTGACCACAAACAAATTCGTCTGGGCTGATTGACAGGACACTGCGGCCAAAGAGATCAGCAGGATGGGCACAGACAGCAGAGACTGACTGATGGAAGTGGTTTTCTGTCAGCCATGGACCCAGCCACTGCATATGACAGTCACAGAGCAGGCTGCTAGTGTTCAGGACACTGAAAACAGAATGGAAAACAGGAAAATAAAAATTAAAAACAAAAAACAAAAGGTTTACTTGTATAATTATATTTGTTACTCATCTAGGTTTAAGTCGCAGAGAGATTATCATTTTCCAAAAGAACCCTGTCAGAAGTGTATTAAAACCCGATATAGTATGAAAATATCAAAATAATGAGAAAATAAGCCCTGAAAATAACTAGAATCTCCCAATAAAAGTGGACATGCAGAGCATCTGCAAAGACAAGAGCAGCAGAAGCAGCATCCAGGTCAACATAACCATTTCCGACGACTCTGGGTTATTCAGTGCATAATTCAAGTAAAATTTGGCTGAATATTCAATCTATTGTAATATTTTACAAATAGCATTTTATTCATACAAGGTTAAATATAAATAAAAAAACATATGTTTTATCACACCTCCGTAAGAAGTCCTACATTCAAAGTTTTATTATGTCCAACCAGTAGAGAAAAATAAACATCACTAAATTTGTATTGTTGGATGATAAACCTTGTAACATGGATCCTAATTTTAGATTCATGTAAATAGGGCTGGGCGATGCGAGCCGAAATCAATATCACGATAAACTGGGCAGTTTTACCTCGATAACGATAAATGCACGATAAATGCTCCGGCTCCTATTAGAAATAAAGGCTTGTGCAGGAAATGCAACTGATCTATTTATAAGGTATTTATTGAATAAATCTCATTGTATATTAATTTCAGTTAAATATTAGAGTCTTGTAACCATTCAGGTTTAAAGATTCAACAATGTCTCGTTGAACAGAAGAAAAATGTTACCTCTCTTGTAAACATTTTTGTGCAAAGGTAACGGAGCCTTTTAAACATCTTTGAACTGAACCATGTGCCTGTGCTGTAGGAGGTTGGATGCGTTAGTTTTGGTAGTTCTGACAGTTTTCAGACAAACTGCATTTCCTATTCTTTTGCTCAACATCTTTGGCGTAATTTTGGTGCCACCGAAGCGTGCAGTGAGAACAATATGCATTGTTTAAACTCGGACACCCTCGCTCAAAACCGGTCTGCCGCGTTATCAACTCTGACAACTGATGTAATTTCGTTTACAGCTGTGTTAGACACTTCTTCACTTGGCTCATCCTCTATTATATATTGTTTACGCTTCTGACTGGATTGGTAGGGTCACGTGATTACTGACACATATGCTTCAGTATCTTAAAGGGGAAGGAACTACCAGCCACCAGCGCACACAAGAAAAATGGCAAAATAAAGTTTATTTCTTCTACAGACAATGGAAAATTGTCGCCGGTTATTGTAGTGAACGACAATAATGGTAAAAATCTGGTTTATCTCCCAGGCCTACAAAGTGGTTTGTCTTTTGGGTTTCCTTTAAGTATTTGATTCAAAAATGCTTTATCCTCTAGGAAAAATGTGCTGAAGAGAAAGTTGATCCATAAATAAAAGCATAGGAACATTGTCATGAGACACTGTCAGCGTCACAGGATCAGGGGCGATTCATAAAGTATGAAGATCCTTGGAAAGGGCAGATACAGCTGTGGGCGTATTCTGTAAACATGCATGAAAAGTTACTCTTTGGAAAAAACTATTATTTTTATTGTTATACACAACTCATCAGAACAACTAAAACAAAATCAAGTTACTGAAAAACACGCTAAGAGACAACAACAATAAAAAAAAAAAAGTTTTATTCTGGGAGAATGACATTTCCCGTGTACTTACAAAACTTTGAGGTTCAAATTGGAAAGCGCCTCAGGATGTATGGACATGATGTTATTCTTGCCCAGGTCCCTGCAGACAAGATGAAAACACAGATTAGAGCCATTAAAATGTTTAGACCTCAGCTGTATTCCATTCCAGCAATATTACTCAACTTAACGTCGTAGGGAAGCGGCTGTTCCAACCGTTGCATTTCTTAATTCTCCCGAGTGGTGCCACACTTTACACACGTGAATAAAGTGAATGTGATTGGTTGTTTATCAAGGGGGTGGGATTGTTGTGGCGGAAGGTTCATAAGCTAGTTTGATTGTGGCCAGTTTGTCGGAAGATTCTTGCTAACCAGTTAGCAACTTAGTGCTAGTAGGTTCTCAATGGGAAATTACATTGAGACCAAGTAGCACTAAATTGGTGACTTACAAACGACACTGTCAAGGAACGCTATGGACAGTGGAAACATGCATGAGGGGGAGAGTTTTGTGTCGGAGGTCGTGGATGAGTCTCCTCCGTCATACAATTTTTATTCAGAGGAAAGTGAGGACGAAGTGATTGTGGAAGAGAACGCCAGGGCGGCAGAAGCTTGGTTTGGTTTAGAAGGCTTACAGCCGTACATGTTTGAGCCCTTGCCTCTAAACGCTGCCAGTTCTGTTAGCTCTACGCCTGCCGAAGACACAGACGTCCATCTCCGTGAACACTCGGACGGAACTCAATGGTTGAGTAAATGACTCTTATTTCAACCATTGCGTATATTAGCTGCAACATATGAATCAAGATGCTATGACCGAAAAAATTTGATTGACAGATGACCTTTGATATAAGATTGGCCAAATTTAGGTGTACAAGCTGATGTATAACTAACTGGCCTTCATAAAATAAAAAAAAATAAAAACCCCGACAGATTTTAAGGCAGGATTTTTTTTTTTTTTTAATAGAAATCTTCTAACTTTTGGGAGAATATCATCTGATAAAGAGTACACTTATATACATGTTTAAGCCAGAATGATTTGACATTTAAATATGACCTCCCCATGACTTTTATTTATGTTTTAATTTAACCATAACAAGATTAACAAGCATCTTCAGGTTGAACTCACAGGTCCTTCAGCTCATCCAGTCCCTCAAACGCTTTCTGGGTGATTGATTTGATTTTGTTCCGCTGTAAAAGTCTGCAAAACAAAAAATTTCATGTGACATAATTAAAATCATTTCTGTGTAAACAGATTTTATGAACCACTGGTAAACTGTATCTGTGGCTTAAGTAAAGGCTAACTTCATGGCTGGTTTTAATAGACATAATTAAAAAATCGACAGTGAACTATGGACATGCAGCGCCTTTGAAGTGTGTTTGTCCTGAATTGATTTGTTTATTTTTTAAGTTTGCAGCATTTATTTTGTTTTACTTAACAAATTGTAACACTAGAGAGTAAACCCACTGCCAAACAACCAACCCTGTGCAAAAAAAGTATGATTACTGCTAGACCTGTGGAAATAAAAAAAAAATCCCCACTGTGGAACCTCTATGGAGCAGGAGTTTCAGCTAAAAAAGAAGAGGACAAGCTGGTTCTGAAAAGAAAACAGCACTGGATCAATAATATGGCAGTGGTTTGGATGTGACAAGAAGAATGTTGAACAAAATGCGGTAATTAGCAAAACAAAAAGGTAGCAGTACCACAAATGTATTCCACCACCTAAAAAGTCATCCAGTGCAAAATTAAGACTCTTGTAAAAGAGCAAAAAAGAGACCCATTTTATTTCAGGTTTATTATGTGTCAGATTTTTCTTTGGTGTTCCTTTTCGCCGCTGGGATGTTCTCTTTTTAAGGTCCAGTGTAGACCACAAAAGAGCTCTAATGTTGCAATATTGTAATTTGTGAAAAATTAAAATAAAATATTTTAATATCATTTTTTAAATTGCAATCGATTTTTCAAAATGACATTTTAATTTGACTCATACCAATGGAACTTTAGGCCCTATGTGGCTAAAAATGTTTGTTTTTTAAGGTTATGAGATCATATTGTCATATATATTGTGTATAGTGATATAAGCCAAACATATCTTGACATAAAATGTTCTTTATATCGTTCTGCCCTAAGAATAGTTTAGGAAACATGAAACAGGGAAGAATCCTCAAAGAGCGGCCACCAAAATTACTCCAGGAGCACATCAACAAAGCACTGCCAGCCTCACCGACCTCACTAGAGCTCATCATTCAACAATAAGATTGGGCAAAGTTCACATATATGGGAGAATTTCTAAAGTCAAAATAAATAATGATGAGAGTGCCACAAAGGCTCAACTTATTTTAGCACCAAAACACACTAAATACATAAAGATCTTTATGATAGTTTGGGAAAATAGTGTGGAAATGCAAAGATTTTAGAGAAGCACCAAAGCCAAACAAAGCAGAAATATGGTGGTGGTTTGGGGGCTGATTAAGATCCTGGGAGACTCGTCATAACTGACAAATATAAACTAAAAATGAATGAAAACCATAAAGAGAGAATCCAGCCGCTATGCAGCAGGACAACAATCCAAAGCACAACAACATCTTTCACACCGGGAAGGTTAAATGTTCCAGTCATTAAATTAAATAATTATGTAAAAACAGCCTTTTTATTAACTATTTTTCTTGTATTATATTTAAAGATCTTAAACAAGTGAGACATAAATAAAACAACAAAGGGAATTTGTGAGGGGCAAACACTGGGTCTACTCTCTGTTCTGTCTGAAACATGTAGGAGTTAAGATGCAATGAGTATGTTAGTCGAAATGAAAGACATTCCAACAATATCCAAGCATGCACATTAAAATTTCATGCAGAATAATTTATATCCATTCTCACAGTGTGTTCAGCTTCTTCATTCCATCAAATACAGCGATGGAGTCTTCAATGGCCCATGAGATTTCATTATTGCGAATATCTCTGAAAAACACAAGTCTCATGTTATACATTAAAAGTGGCGAGTAGAAAAAAACATGTTTACTGAAATAAGTTCTTCAGTAAACAGATAAAAAAAAAAAAAAAAACATAATTTCTCCCCAGGAAACCAAAAGGCAGGTCCAGGTTAGGAACCAAACAATCTGAGAAACATTTAAACTTTGACAAAGTTTGGTGCCCTTCTTCCTGCTGAGGGGAAATAATTGGCCCTGTTTGGCACTGCTCATCACAGCCCATTGGTCTGCTGGAAACCCAGAGAGGCCTCATGTTTACAGGATGGGTCACAGGCTCTTTTGTTTTACTTTTCTCATGCCTGTCCACCTCTGAAAGAAGTTTGGCTCTGTGAAATGCTCCTCTTTCATGAAAGCTTAGAGGACAATAAACATCCCCAAACATAAACTCTCCTGTTTACAGTTCAACAACTTAAACATGAACCTGTGCATCAAACAGGAACTTTCTCAACACTTCATACGTTACAGAATCTTTATATGCAAATTACACACTTGATTAATTAGTTTAGCATAATATAAAGTCCTAACTGTAAAATGTACAAAATGTTCATTTTGTAATCTCCCCATTAGGTTTGCCGTAAGTACAGCTAAAGTGCAGAACCCTCTCGCATCCCACATGTATGACACGTACAGGGCAGATATTCCATTAGCAAGATTGATGCAGTTTTAATCCATCAGAGTCTACTTAGGAGAAACCCACATTCATTAAATGTTAATACATGCTAATCATTAAAGCACCTCTTCAGGCTGTCAAAAACACTTTCTGCTCCACTTGGAGGACAGATAATACAGACCTGAAGTAGAATTCTGGGGAACATTACACAGTGATTTCATTTAAAATACAAATGAAATGACTAATGCAGGATTACCAAACAGAGTCTAAATCAGCGCGTAAAGAGGAAGCAGCTACTATAGTTTTTCCAACTAATATGGTCTCTATGGGAAACCAAACATTCATGATGGGAGGACTAGCAATCCATAAAAGAAAGGAAAAAAAAGCACACAGACCTACTTTAGTTGATGATCTTTGTTAGAATGCAAATTAAAAACAAGTTGAGACTCGGTTTTATTAAACCTCTTTAGTTTGGTTTCATGATTTTAAAGATTTAATAATATATAAATAAATAAATAAATAAATAGATATTGCTGCAGGGCTTTGTACTTACAGGGTGCGCAGGTTTGCCAAGCTGCTAAACACGCCCTCTCCTAAATGGCTGATAGCGTTTTCTCCCAAGTTCAGAGTCTCCAGGAATCCTAAACCAAGGAAAGCTGTCTCCTCAAGTCTTGTCAGGTGATTGTGGGACAAGTCTCTGCACAGATGACCACAAATTTAATTAAATACCACTCCAAATATTTTCATTTGAAAAAGATATTCAGAAGCATGATTGCTTCATTAGATGCTAAAGCTTCGCTGACTTAGCTCTGGAAAGCAATAATGAGGTTAGGTAAAAGTGATTGATGAAACCATGTGGGGTAACTTAGCTGCACAAGGGTTTCAGTTTTTAATAACAAATAAATATAGAAATATCTCACAGTTTCTCCAGTTTTTGGCAAAACTCCCAGGCATCAGATCGGATGATGCCTATAGCGTTGTGGCTGATTTGCAGGATGCGTAGCATGCGGAGGCCATAGAGCCAAACTTTATTAACTTCTGTTAGGTTGTTGTGTTCCAGCTCTCTGGAAGATTGGGGGAAAAAACAGAGAGAAGAGTATAAAAAAAATGTATCTTTCACAACCATGAGAGAGCTTGTTTTTAAAGTCTTTTCAATCAAACCTAATCAGCCGCTTTTGAAGCATTACTTCCACAAATGGTAAATAAATTGCAGAATGAGAATTTAAAATCAAAATGAACATAAAGCTTACAGCTCTTCAATGTTGTTCAGTCCAAAAAACGCGCCGTCCATCAGCTTTGTCAAGCCATTTCTCTGCATCTTTAGTGACCTCAGCGACTCCAGCCCTTTGAACGTCAGACTATCCACTGTCTTGATCCTATTACGCTTCATTTCCCTGCAAGAAAAAAAAAAAATTATTTTAACTTAGTCAAGCGTCAATGAAACAAGACAATAGGTAGAATGACATGAATATTCAAAATAGGATTATTAGCTTGTTTGGCTGGCCTGAATCAAAGCTAAAGAAGAATTCCTCTGCTGCAGCTGATGATATCAGGGTTGAACTAAAACAAGAGTGATACTCACAGTAACTGAAGCTGGGGAAGTTTGAAGACTTTTGACGGCAGCGTTACTAATCTGTTCTTGTTTAGCCGAAGCACCAGCAGCGAGCTGGAGATGTTCTCGAAGCAGCCAGGCTCCAGGAGGCTGATCTTATTGTTACTCAAATTTCTAGAATTTTAAACAAAAGCAAAAACAATTAAGTGAAAAAAAATTAAAAGCAGTAGATGAAACAAATTTTTCTTTAGTAACCAGTGACACGCATAGTTTTCTCATTATGATATTTAAAATGTTTAACATTCCCAACAGAACTGCTACCATTTCATCATTATGCAGTACCGGTTTTAATAATCCATAAAGCTGATCATACAACTGATGTAACCCAGGGAAAATTTAAGGATAAGTATAGGTAAAACGTGGGTAATTTACAGGACATCAATAACCATATAATAACATGGTAATAACATAGCAAGTTACACTATATGTCTAGATAAAAAGAAACATTTTATGGAGAATTCTGTTAAGTACTGTGCCTCAACTTTTAGGCAGACAAGGTAAAGTCAGACTTCTTAGATGTCAAACCGTTATTTACAGGTAAATAAGTAATTTCATCAACAGCAATAAATTAATGTGTTATTATCTAGTTAAATACAGTTTATTAGTCGGAATTTAACAGAAAACCAAACCTAGAATACAGATAGCCAATCTTCTTAAGTAAACTCTTATTTATTTGTAACTTTAGTTCAGTTTTATGGAGCTTTATTAACCTGATCACAAGCTAGAATTTACTTTGTAAGCTGTTGGTAGTTGGTGGACAATAACAGAAAGTGTTATGTGGTAAGCTTATGGTAATTACCCATCAAAAGTGTCCGTTGTAACATACAACTGTAATAATTACCTGCATATATACCTTAATTTTGGGTAAAAAATACCAAATAAAGTTTCTCCTGTTACCAAGTTATATAGTGCGACTTGCTATGTTATTACATGGTTATTGATGGCTACTGTAAAAGAAAGCGCTTCCAAAATGTGTTGATTAAGTTTAATGATGAGTTACATTCCACAGAAGAAAAGTTAATGGAGCAAAAATTTTATGTTGCGCTATTACTTACAGATACTTGAGCTGCATAGAAGGAAAGGATCCCACTTTGAGCTCAGAGATGGAATTAGATGTTAGGTCCAGCGTCTCCAGAGAATTGTATGGCTGCAGCTGATGCATCAACAGTTCTGAGATCCGATTGTTGACTCTGAGCAAACACAAAAAGGCATCAGTTTTCTGCAGTGACAGCAATCATTACTCTGACAAGTCAAAATCATCTGACTTAGAACAATAAAGCGTGAAAAAGACGGTTAAAAAAGTACAAACAAAAGGTCTGCATTGGTCGGTTTGGAGTGATGGCTCATTTTGTTAATTTCTTTTAATTTCTGAGGATAAAAACTTCACGAAATTCTCAAGAGGGTCATGGAGCACTAGAATATGTTCATATAGCTCTGAAAAATCGTTTTGATACATACTTCCTCTGTTCTCAAAATTTCACAGAAAAGAAAAAAAAAATTGTAAAACGATTCAGTCTTGAGTGCCAAGCCACTTACTAGTGATACAAGAATCCCCTAAATATATAAATTGGCATTTGTTCCCATTTATTTTTTTACTTGAAAAAAGAGAAAAAAATAACAAAATAGTTTTTTTTTTGTGGAAAACATCTGCGACACAGTGAGCAAACAGATCAACTATAAGCAGTGTTGTCTAGGGTATAATCAGACTTTGAAATTTACTTCAGAAATCGGCTGCATTGTAACAGAAAAAATAAAACAAGAACTATTTGGATTATAGCTGTTCAACAATGAAATAACATCAGTTGTAACTAACCCACATTTTCCAGTCTACACTTCTTTTTCTTCCATCATGACCCAACTACTCTCCAAGAAGTTTAGGATTTTATGTCACAAGTATTCATAAACACTGAGTAAAATGGACACTGAAAATATAGAAAGTCATCTGATCTGACCATCCACACTACCGGTAAGCAGGGGTCTGAAATATCATAAGCAGAGTTTTTTAATTGCAATACTGCACACCTTGAAACTGAATTTAAAGGGGAGGGTTATATAATATTATATTATATTTGTAACTCTGCTGTGTGGAGTCTGGAAATTTGACTTTTTCAAAGGATAATCTAACCCAATTTATTTACATAACATTATAAAGAAAACAGGGGTGTTTTTGAAAGTGCTGCACAACAACATATAAGGTATGTCATGCAATAAGTGATAAAAACCAACAAAAAACAAGAAAAAAATAGGTAAGAACAAAAAATCCAGGTGTTAAAAACCAGAGAATAGGGTCTAAAGATTGAATTTAAACAATTAAGTGTAGTTTGTTTGTTTTTCTTTAAAACATTATAAAATAGGAATTTCTAATGAGGTAAAGGTGGATGAACATCAAATGGTGCATATCAAATGCTGTGTAATGAACAGGCTTCAAAAAGAAAAGTGAGTGCTACACATAAACAGTGGAAATTAAAACAAAAAAATCTTTAAATAAGTGGCAGAAAGGAAACATGATGGCGGTTCTGTACTCACAGTAGAAGTGAGGTGATGTTAGAAGAAATGTTTCCAAGAGAGGGGAAAACAGCCAGCTCGTTGTGATTCAGGGTGCTGAAATGAAATTACATAGAAATCAGCATTTCAATGGTTAGTGAGCTCTTAAGATACCTGCTAAAAAAATCATTTGCATTAGGTAAAAAATCTGGACAATTTCTTTTTAAAAGATTTTGAAAATGTTCTGGCTCTTTAATTCAAAAATCACTCATTTGTTTTCATGTTGCTTGTAAACAACATGGGCAGTTTAATTTAACAAAAATGATTACTTAGTTTACAGGAAAACACACACACAAACATTACTATAAATATTAAACATATATAAAATACCAAATATATATATATATATATATTAATAAGAGTATGGAGGGCTACAGTTTAATTTCTCTGTCGTTTTTTTTCAACAAATAAGTGCAGTTTGTTCAAACACACGCTTGTTACTAGATCTACTTGTGTACTTACACATGAGTTATCCCATCTGGGACGTCCAAGGGGGCAGCGGACAATCTTTTCCTGTTGCAGTCCAAAATATGGACCCCGCTGTGTCCTTTTAGACAGGAGCACGCAGCGGGACAAGAACCAGTGACACAGGCACTCAAACTTAGCAGCAGGACAACCAGAGCTGGAGGAATGGGCCAGCCTTCCGCCATTTTAAATGTCCTCCTACTGAGAGGTAGCTACGTGGCTAACAGACCGTTCAATTGGCACTTTTAAAAGGCTACAAAAGTACCAAACTGTCCGAGGGGTTAATTTTAATCTAAGGAAAGCATATTTCAGCTTAACAGGGTCACAAACTCAACATAAAGCATACAATCCAACGTTGACCAACTTGCTCGGAGCATAGCAGCTGAGATTTGTTCCCTTCTTTGCACAGCCTGGAATTCGTCCTGCTCCAATCAGGACAGCCTTTCGACAGGCTAACCAGCTAACTGCTAAGCTAGTTTGACCTGAAAAATACCACACTTTCCGAATGATGAAAAAACAACTAAAATAAACGCCCTGTATGCTTCTTGTTATGCGACGCAAACAGACACCTCGAACGCATAGTTTTTCGGGGGAAATAAAGTAGTATTTTCTGTTATTTTCTGTCCCAAAACAAAACAATGCGCCGTAAACTGATGACAAAGGACGGTGAAAGTCCCGCCCCTTTCTATCATGTTTACAAACATGTTATTGGTCAGTGGTCACGTTTGTCAAATACTTCCAACTATTTGATTGGATTACAGCGTGACGCATTGCAGCCTTCCCTCTTCTAAAACGTTTTGGGGGAGCAAGTTTGCCCGACCAGAGCTCCTTTGGCAGAAACAATATTTTATTTAAATTTACATTTGCAATTTTGCAATTTCATACTTCATACTTTTTAAATACCAACATTCCATAACGAAAAAGAACTTAAATAAAACAAAACCAACAAAATGTAAGGAGTAGAAATTAAAGATTATAAAAAAAATTGTAAGGAGTAGAAGTAAAACGTTGTCTGAAAACAAAACTGTAAAAAAAAAAAAACAACAACTACAGTATAGATAGCTAAATGGTAAAGTATTTATACTTTGTTACTTGACACCTCTGGTGGCTGCAGCACTTGGATGTGAGGAGCTAAAGGAGATCTCACAGCTTCACCGATGATTATTAAAGAAGGGCAAACTTGAAAAAGATCAAATGTAAAGAAAAAAATATTCTAATGTTATTTCATATTTTTTATTCCTCAACATTAATCATGAAATTCTTAAACTATTATGTAATTTACATTGAAATGCTAAAAAACTATTTTAAGATGAAAAAATAAATATAGCTGAGAGGTGTAACATCTCATTTCCTGAAGAGCAGGACTCTTGCGCTAGCTAATATAGGACTCTATACTACACAACACATTATATGATCAACAACTGCAAGTGGTAAGATCACGACTTGCTCACAGGAGGCCCTGGGTTCCAATACCCAGTGTGGGGAAATGAGCTGCCATTGTGGGTCCTTGGGCAGGACCCTTCCCACTAATGCCTACTTTGGAGAAAAGCATCTGCTGAAAATGTATATACATTTTTATATATA